GTGCTTAGGGGACAGAGCAGTCCCACATGTCCTGGGGGCAGAACTTAGAGTGGGGACAATGTGTGAAGAGGGGACTATGCCCTTGCCTGGGGCCTGCTGTGGAGCCTGCAGAGTTGGTGCACATTGCCTCTCCTGGTAGCCGGTACTGTGTCTTCTCAAGGCAACATGTGGGGGCACCTAGGTCATAAATTTGTCAGTTTTCACACCAGAGCATGGCCAGTGCAGCCTCTCAGCACTTTATGGGAGGGAGGAGGTGCAGGGAGGGGGGATGGGGGTAGGGATGACCTGGCCTGTGTACTTGAAAGGTGATCTCATCCCTCCCTCCCCTTCCCCAATCCCGGGGAGGGTGCTTAGGGGACAGAGCAGTCCCACATGTCCTGGGGGCAGAACTTAGAGTGGGGACAATGTGTGAAGAGGGGACTATGCCCTTGCCTGGGGCCTGCTGTGGAGCCTGCAGAGTTGGTGCACAAACAGGCTGGAAATAGCTTCCTCCCTGCCAGGCCAGCGCTGTGCGGGGCTTTGGCACATGCAGGGCTTGGTTTCTGCTAGGCAGTGCCCTGGGCTGTAGGGAGTTGCGCTTTCCCTGAGTGCCAGCCCAGCCAGCAGCAGTGAGGGAAGGAAGGAGCCTGCCAGCCAGGGTGTTGGTGAGCTGTATGATCCGGCCAGGGGTTGGCTGTCCACACAGTGCTGGGAGCAGGGCACGGGATATGGAGGAGCAGCAGGGCTGTGAGGGGGGAGTATGAATGGGCACAGCAGGGAGAGGGCAGGGAGAGGGGAAGCATGTAAAGGGTCGATGGGTGGGCAGCAGAGGTGACACGTAACCAGCCACCCCCAGCCCACATTCACGAACCACTGCAGCAAGCCAGTGCTGGCTGGAAACCGGACAGGGGGGGAAGGGGGCCTGCTGGCCAAGAGGAAGCACCACAGCAGCCACCAGCAGGGGGAGTGGCTGGCCCCACACACTGCAACTGTACCAACCACCAGCCTTGGATTCCCAACCCCATCGTTAGCCACTGGTCCGCCTGCACACATTCTCACCACTGGAGGGGTGGGCAGCTGGCAAGAAAGGATCTGGCCAGCAGCAGGACCCACCAGCACTGGAAGGAGAGAGAAAATATGGGACAATTGGCCCCCCCCAGCCCACATTCACGAACCACTGCAGCAAGCCAGTGCTGGCTGGAAACCGGACAGGGGGTGAAGGGGGCCTGCTGGCCAAGAGGAGGCACATAGCAGGGACTGCACTGATGGGCCAGCAAGGAGAGTGGATGGCCCTGCACAGTGCAGCTGTGCCCAGCCACCAGCTTTGCACTCACCCCATCATTAGCCACTTAACCTCCCCCCACCTCCAAGACTCAGCGCGAGTGAGTGAGCGAGCAGCTGGCGAGTAAGGATCCAACCAGCAGCTGGACCCACTAGTGCTGATGGGAGGAGAGAGGCAGAAAACACAGGACAATTGCAGGAGGCTTAAAAACGGGACAGCCGGTCACCCTAGGCATGTGAGAAAAAGTATGTAAACAGTAATTAAGGCCACTCAATGCTTATTAGGCTAGAGCTTTGAAATGCAAACCTGTATTGTTAGGAATTAGAAGTAATGCTAGTTCTACGTGTTTACTTATATAGATGCCAACCATGTTTGTAAACAGACATCTCCTGGCTGTCACTAGAATTGTTGAGTCAGAGATCAAAAGGGAATATTAATATTTAGATTAATCTTGATTGAGATAATGTCATTGTCAAGATGTCTCTTTAAAGTTTGTGATAAACTGCTTAATGGATTAATTTACCTTATGCCAATTACCTGATGTGGTTATATCAAAAGACTGTTGTGTTCTTCCAGGCCAAGGGGCTGCTGGAAGTGTATAAAGGCCCTTGGGTCCTGATCCATTTTTGTCTCATGTCTGCTTGGATGCTCCTGGGGGAAGCTGCAAGCCATAACAAATGAGATCCTAGGATATCCCGGGGCCCCTTTAAAGCAGTGTTTCCCAATTGGTGCTCCACAGAACCCTGGAGAACACTGCTTTAATGAATACTGACTTAGGGTCGCAAATCTACTTGAAATTTCATACTGAGGAAACCTAAGCCACAACGATTGAGATCCCAGTCAGTGGCCGGAACCACCCTGGATATGGATTTTTAACTATGACCATCTAAATTTCAAAACCTGATTACAAAGGGAGACAGCTGAACTGGAATTCATTTGCAAATTCAATGCTATCAATTTAGCACTGAATAAGAATCTTAGCTGGTTAAGGTATTACAAAGACAATTTCCCCTCTCTTGATATACACATTTCCACATCAACTGCTGTGAATGAGCCACTTCCACCCTGACTTCATAGAATTATAGAGTGGGAAGAGACCTCAGGAGTTCATCGAGTCGAGCCCCCTGCCCAAAGCAGAACCAACCCCAAGCAAATCATCCTAGCGAGGACTTTCTCAAGCTGGGACTTAAAAACCTCTAGGGATGGAGATTCTACCACATCCCTAGGCAACTAATTCCAGAGTATCACCACCTTCATAGTAAAACAGTTTTTTCTAATATCCAACCTAGATCTTCCCCACCTTAATTTGAATTAGACTTGATTAGCCTCATTTATACAAGCACCCTCTTTCTTTTGTTGTCCTTCTATATACCAATGCCTATGTAAACTGCACTCCAATTTCTGATTAAGTGGATTTTACCCTTTATAGCTCATGCCCTAATAAATCTGTTAAGGGTATGTCTACACTTGCACCCTCTTTTGAGAGAGGGATGCAAATGCAGCTGAGCAAAATTGCAAATGAAGCGCAGATTTGAATTTCCTGCACTTCATTTGTATTTTGAAAGAAACCCCTTCTTTCGAAATAACCAATAAACCTCATTTTTTGAGGAGTAAGGGTTATTTCAAAAGAAGAAGTTTCTTTCAAAATAACCGCATTTACACAGCATTTGTTATTTCGAAATAGGGTATTTCAAAATAGCAGCGTTCCGCGATTATGCAAATGAAGCACGGGAAATTCAAATCCGCACTTCATTTGCAATTTCACTCAGCTGCATTTGCATCCCTCTCGAAAGAGGGTGTAAGGGTAGAAATACCCTTAGTTTCTAAGGTGCCATAGGACTCCTTGTTGTTTTTACAGATACAGACTAACACAGCTACCCCTCTGAGACATCTGTTATATAACTGAACTTCAAGAACTGAACTCAGGTTGGTATGTATATTGATCTTTTAACCAATACTCTTATTCTTTTTTAATACATTTTAGTTTAGCTAATAAGAATTGGCTTTAAGCGTGTATCTGGGATAGGTCTGAAATACTCATTGACCTGGAGGGTGATGTGTCCAATCCTTTTGGATCGGTAGAACTTTATTTGACTGGGGTGTTTGGATAGTGGCCTGAGGCTGGATACTTTGTGGGAACTGCGTGGTTTGGACTTTGATTGACCTCCAATAAGGTCAGTAAGGCCAGAAGCTGTTTGAGCTGGCTGGGGATTATAAATATTGGGAAAACCACCAGCTTTGGGGATTGGCCATCTCATTTCTTGCAGTGCTCTCTAACTGAGTGATCTAGATGGTTCCCCTGGGAACCCACAAATCACAGGGAGCTAAAGTGGCTTTGCTTTGCAGTGAGGGCCCGGGCTTAGTTTTTTTACAGGACTCAAGCATGGAGAATGGAACTGGCTGGAAAAAAGACAATTCTACTTCATGACAACTTTTGATGTTTTTGACTTTTCTTTTTTCATTCCACACTGGACTCAAAAGAACTTCCAAACATTTTTGCAAAATTAAATAGGGTCAAAACATCATTGTTTGGATCAGAACAGCCAGGTTTTTGTTCTCTCTTTGTAGCTCTTCCCCTTCTGCCTCCATTCTGTTGAAACTTGCATAAATATTGATACATCTTCACAACATTTTGTTTTTGATGCAATGGGCCTTTTCAGAAATAAAGTTTAGTCAATACCTTTCCAGACCACTGTCACAGAAAAGTAACAAGTTTGCCATCCTGGGTAGATTCCTTGCATATTTCTGAGCTGGACTTTGGAACAACTGAAGAAGTGTTTACTCCCTATGAAATCATCCCAGGTTTTACAGTAAGTTGGGTGCATTGTGGGACAGGTCTGTATGTGTTACACACTGTAGATGAGTCCAATAAAAACACTTCAGGGAAGAATTGTTTTAGACATAGTCCATAAGGCTGGTAATTACTTGCTTTAATATCAAGCTGTATTGCATTGATCCAGTGAGCTTCTGAAGACTGGAAAGAATACAAACACCGATAATTCATTATTACAGAGCCAGCTGCCCATTCTTTATTAAAAAGAGCAAGTCACAGGAACTCCCAAGGAAGGAAGATATTTGGGTGGTAGACCACTATCTGCATTTTGTATTTGATCACAGTGGGACCAATGTTACCTGTAAGCTGTGCATTCGTGCGGCGACACAGGAGAGGTTCAGATCCCACCCAGCTGATGAGAAGAGCATTTACAGCTAAGTTTTGTTTCTACTGGCAGTGCACATTCACATATGCTTTGGTGCACATGCCACAAATTTATTCTGCACTATTTCTCGGCTTGACATCATGTCTCTGATCTTTCCCTGTAAATATGAGTCACATCTCTTTGTCTTTCAGGGAATATAATGTTATCATCTGTAGTACAGTGAACTTTTGCCCATTTCTTTCGGATTAATGTTAGATCCAATGTCGTGAATAATTCACAGAGCCTTATTTAATATAATTTTTCTGACAGCCAGTGGCTGGGAATAGCATTTTGGGACATGCTGTTTGCAACCAATGAACTCCAAAAATAAAGAATTGATGCTTATCCCGTGTGAACTGGGAGCATACAGTATGGGAGGGAAATAAAGAAGAGTAGGCATGTACCTTTCAAAGGAATTGCTGATAATTCTTTCATAAGAATAATGTGAAAAAGCTGAATATTGACATATCCTCACAGTTTTCTCTTTCTTGCTGTCACATGGCATGATACTAACCTGTATAATGATCAGTTACACATTGGCACAAACTGGTCAGACAAGACAGGATTTCCCCAATGTGATGGTGCTGGCAGTTGTGGTGTCAGGCCACATAAGGAAACTACACATTGTAGATTGAAAACAAACTTCGACAACTGGAGGACTCTGGGCTCTTCCATGTCTTCCTTGCTGCAAAACCCTGCTGCATTTCCAAAGAGTTTGTTTTCGGTATGCAATGTATGTGTCAGGTGTGCATTTGCCAGTATCCCAGTGAAGATAGCTTCTGTCATCTACGCATATCTGTGTGGGTGTGCAGGATCTCAGGGTTTGTGTTGTGTGTGAAAGTGTGTAGGAGAGTGATCTGATACAGCCCCTGCACAGATAGATATGTATTCGGTATATGTGCCTACAAGTTGCTGGTACTTGTGCATATTGGTTTGTGTTGTGTGTGGCTGTTTTCATGCAGAGGTGAGGTTCTAGTGCTTGTGCATTCAGGAGGTTGTCACACCAGACTTCACATACTCACGTGGTAGCCTTCTCTCCCCATTTTATAGGGGGAAACTGAGGCACAGAGCTATGCTTGACTTGCTCAAGAACACACAGCATTCCATGGCAAAGCCAGGGCTAGACCCCAGAAGTCTTCTCCCTTGTCAGTGGTGTGACTCCTGCTGTGCTTGTGCAGAAAACATCATTGCTACTACTTGTTATTTACAGAGCCTGGTACTTTTACAAAGCACATACATTCTGCCCCTCCACCTAAGCCACTGAAAGTCTAAGTGAAGGATTTGGCAGCAGGGGAGAAGAACATGAAGAAGGTATCATTCTGCCCCTCCACCTAAGCCCTAAAGTCTAAGTGAAGGATTCGGCAGCAGGGGAGAAGAACATGAAGAAGGTAAGGCTGAGAGTCCAGATCACTTGTGAAACTAGTGCAGGCCTCTTGAGGGTTACTGAAGTCGAATGTACTAATTTGTATTCAGTCTAGACACAAGGGTTCTGTGCAAGATTTTGCAATTTTAACTTTACTACGTTTGTAGAGTAAAAGGAAAACGCACGTGCTTTATTTACATTATTGTATTTTTCAAAAACGTAGGGAAAAAGTTTGCATTAATAAAAGAAGAATAGAGCTTGCAGGTAGACAGTATTTTCAGTTTTTCTCTCTTTTGCTAGGATAAAAAAGGGGCTGGAGATTCAGAAATGAGGGCAGGGGACCGGGAGGGTTGGGGGCTCAGGGTGGGGTGGAAGTGCTGGAGTGAGGGTGGTGCACTGAGGGACAGGGTTCGGGGGACAGGGGGCTCAGGGCAGGGGTGGAGGTGCAGATGTCAGACTGGGGTTCTGGGAGTGGAGGGGCTGAAGTCAGACCAGGGGGTGAGGACTCAGAATAGGGCTGGGAGTGCAGGATTGAGAACAGGGGGCTGAGAGTGTGGGGGAGCTCAGGGCAGCGGTGAGGGTGCAGAGGTTGGTGTGTGTGAGGGCTCAGGGCAGGGGTGAGGGTGCAGAAGTCAGGGCAGAGGGCTGGTGAGAAGTGAGGGAAGGGGGATAGGAGGGTTGGGGCTCAGAGCAACAGTGGACGGGGCTGGACTGAAGGCAGGGGTTGGGGGCTGAGGGCACAGGGTTTGGTGTGGGGGGCTCAGGGAAGGGAGTGGGATGCAGGAGTGAGGGCAGGGGGTTAGGTGTGGGGGGGCTCAGGGCAGGGGATGAGGGGTGCCGGAGTTAAGGCAGAGGTGGGAGGCTCAGGGTAGCGGGTGTGGTGCAGAACTGAGGGAAAGGGCCTAGGAGGGTTGGAGAGTCTCCAGGCACAGGATGGAGAGTGCTGGAATGAGAGCAGGGGGTGGGGGCTTAGGGCAGAGGGTTTGGTGTGTGCCGAGGCTGAGGGCCCTCTGGCACTGTATTGGTCCTAGCTCTTACCATTTAGGAGGAGTTCTTGAACAAGCAGGCTGGCAGATACACACACAAACTGTCATCATATATATAGTAGCCCATTGTCTCTTCTCCCCCTCCTGCCTCTCACTCTGTGTTTCTCTTCTCCTCCTGCTGTGTCTCTCTCACTCTCTCTCTCGCTGTCCTCCGCTTCCTCCGTTCTCCTCTCTGCCCCCTCCATGTCCTCTGTGTCTGCTCCACTTTCCTCCTTTTGAATCTGGCGCCCTTTCCTGATGTCAGAGACACATGCTCGGCCAGGCCCCGCTCCTTTGCTGTTCCCTCTGGGTGGCACTGTTGCCTCCTGCCGTGGCGTTCGGCTGACTTCTGCACCACTCAGCTGGGCCGTTGCATGGGAGCAAGCAGCGCAAGTGGCCGTTTGGGCCCCGCGCTCCCCATGCAGCACACCCATGCAGCATGGGGAGCGTGGACCCCAAATGGTTTCTTGCGCCACTTGCTCCCGTGCAGCAGCCCTGCTGAGTGGCACAGAAGGCAGCTGAGTGGCGCAGAAGGCAGCCGAGCACCACGGTGGGAGGGGAAGGGAGACGGCATGATAGCGGCTCCAGGCCCCACCCCCTGGCCGTGAACGTCACTGCCCTGCCCCCCCTTTGCCTCCTGCCGTGGCATTCGGCTGACTTCTGTGCTGCTCAGCCGAGCCACCGCGGGAGAGGAAGCGGAGCAAGCGACCGTTTGGGCTCCACGCTCCCCCGAGTGAGAGGCAGGAGTGGGAGGAGAAGAGAAAGATAGAAACAGAGAGAGAGGCAGGAGATGGAGGAGAGCTGAGAGAGAAAGAGAGAGAGGTGGAGGCAGTAGGAGGAGGAGAGAGAGAGAGAGAGAGAGAGAGACGGAGCCAGAGACCGGAAGCTCAGGAGAGAAGACCGACGTGGAGAAACCTGAAAATCCCGTCTTATGACTGGCTAATTGGCTAGTAAGGGCTCGGTGTCCCTTTCTAGTTAGCCAGAGTTACAGTCAACAAATACCTGGCTTGAGTTCCCTTATCAATGCTCCTTGCAAAAAACCAACCAACCAAACAAAAACAACCAACCAACCAACCAACACCTACATCCAGTGACAAAATGGACCAGCTCCATTGGCCCTGCTGGCTGAGGGCCTCCCCTCATGTTAGGGCAGGGACAATAGATCATGTTGGTTCATGTTGTGCCAGGGCTGGTCCTGGGTAACGGAAGGGGGGACTTGTCTCTGGGGCCCCTGGAAAGCGTGGACCCTTGGGTAGAAGGGGCAGGCATAGAGGCAGCTAGCTCTCAGCACCACCCAGACTGTGCCATGCCTTCCCTAGCCTTAGCCCTCAGCACTGCCTGCACCATGCCATCTGCGGCTCTCCTAGTGATTTAATGGGCCCAGGTTCCAGCCACTGCAGCTGTTGCAGTAGTGGAGGTGTCAGCCCAGAGCCCTGGGCCCTTTTAAATCTCTGGGCCCTGGGGCAATTGTTCCTTTCCCTCCATCACCTCTGTCTTGTGCTTATTCTACTTTCAAGTGCTATTTCTGTATCCACACTGTTAGGGTGCGTCTACACTACAGGGTTTAACTCGAAATAAGCGATGCAAATTGAGCTACGTCAATTGCATATCTTCCTTCAAAATAGGGAGCGTCTACACAGCACTTATTCTGAAATAAAGCACTCTTCCTCCAACTTTCCTTATTCTTCGTACAGTCAGGGTTACAGGAGTCAGAGTAAGAAGTCCTCCAGCTTGACAGTATTTTGACACCACAGGAGAGTCCCGATTATCTGATGTAAACGTGACCAAGGGGTGGTCGGATTAATGAGAATGTCAGATAAAACAGAAACTGGTATGAAATCAGGTTTATTACTAATTATTCTCCAGAACAACTAACATACTGTAATATTATTGTACAGAACAGCTAACATACTGTAATATGTAACTAACAACTAACATACTGTAATACTGTAACAATATTATTCTACAGAACAACTAACAGAATACTGTAGAGCAAAACGCTAAAGTTATTGTTTAAACAAATTAGTGATTGAAGTTTGTTTCCCAGCTTTGTTTCTCTTCCTTGTGGCGAGGTCACACCAGCATCTCAATAACATAACATCACTAGCAGTTGCCTCCCCTTGTTGTTCAACGTAAGCCAGTGCCTCCTCAAGAGCCTTGACCCATTCGCTATGACTAATTCTCTCCGTTTTGTCATTGTCATTTGTATCTTCATCTTCATCATCTTCATTGTCATTGTCATCCCGATTCACAAGAGCTATTATGTCGCGGTCAGTCAGTTCCTGTTGCTCGTCTTTCTCCATCCATTCCTGAATATCATCATCATTCACCTTCTCGTAGCCTGGAATTTGTTGTAGCAAAGGTAGCAGGTTATCACAATTTTCTTGCATCATTTCTTGTGTGTTTTCGTCATTCAGAAGTAACTTTCTCCATGATCTTGCCAGAGTTATCGGTTCAATCTCTTCCCATGATTGTGCGATCCAATAAATAACATCTTTTATGTTCACTGTCCTTAGCTTATCTAGCATACCATTTCCATTGTCTATCGCCTCAATGAGCGTAGTTAAAAGCTTATGACAATATTTTCTCTTTAACGCTTCAAGCACACCCTGGTCCATAGGCTGACACAACAAGGTGCTATTAGGAGGAAGAAAAATCACTCTAATGTTCCCACGGAGCATTCATCTTCATGAGGATGAGATGGCGCATTATCAATGACAAGGATTGCTTTCCTTGGTAGGTGTATGGAATTCAAAAATTGTTCAACTTCAGGAAGAAATTCATTGAAAAACCAGCCTCAGAAAATTGCTGAATCCATCCATGCATTCTTCTGATTCTTGTACGAAACGGGTAGAGCACTAGGCGATATGTTTTGGAAAGCTCGTGGGTTTTTTTTGACTTCCCAATAAATGTGAGTCTTAGTTTGTGGTTACCAGTAGCGTTACTACAGGCTAGAATCGTCACTCTTTCTTTACTTCGCTTATACCCAGAAGCTGAAGCTTCAGCCCGGGAAGCTAGAGTTTTCGAAGGCATCATTTTATAGTTTACTAAAGTTTTTGAAGGCAGCATTTTATAGTTTAAGCCTGTCTCATTGCAGTTATAAATCTGCTCATATGATAATCCTTCATTTTCAATGAGACAGTGAAAATTTGCTTTACATTTCAGAAACCCTTCCAGATTTGCTGATAATTTTTCACCACATATACTGAGCTGTCTTAACTTCTATCGTTTTTTCCAGCGATCAAGCCAGCCTACACTAGCCGTGAAATCAAGTTCCCCTTCATTAAATTCCTTTTGGAAACTCAGGGCTTTCTCTTGCAGAATCTGGCCTGGGATAGCCATGCCCTTTTCCCTTTGCTGTGTGAATCATAAGAACAAAGCTTCACTCACTTTTTTCATATTCACATTTTTTCATTGTTTTTCTGTCCTTCAGTCCTGCAATTGAAGGTTGATCAGAGCACCACTTTTCTAACTCACTTCTTTTCCTCTTCCGGTCACCAACTGTAACCCCACACCGAGTTCAGATGCAATTTTTTGCATGGACTCACCTTTGTCTATTGTCGTTAATGCTGCAAGTTTTTGTTCAATGAAAAGAACCACTTTTTTTCTCTTTCCACATGCCATGTTCCTCAAATAATAAAATTATATTATACAGTATTGCACTGAAGGGAAAATGGAATTGGAAAAATGAAACGTAATCACAGTAGAAACATAAATGAAACACAAATCACAGCAGAAACATAAATCACTGGTGCAAAGTAGGAAATGAAGGCACGGCCATAGCGGTATGTGACGCATGGACATGTAAAGAGCACGTCGAATGTCTATGTCAGATAAACCGGAAGGTCGGATGAGTGAAGATCGGATATCCTGGACTTCACTGTATTTCGAAATAGCTGCCTGCTGTGTAGACACAGACTAAGGGTATGTCTACACTGCCACCCTAGTTTGAACTAAGGTGGCTAATGTAGGCATTCGAAGTTGCAAATGAAGCCCGGGATTTAAATATCCCGGGCTTCATTTGCATCATGCTGGGTGCTGCCATTTTTAAATCCCCCTTAGTGCAGACTCCGTGCCCGTGGCTACACGCGGCATGGAATAGGTAGTTAGAATTAGGTTCTCTAATTCGAACTACCATTACTCCTTGTGGAACGCCACTGGCCAGACCCTGCTAGCCAGGATGTAATTATAGGGACAAGGGGTGGAGATGGGTAGCCTTCCCCCTTCAGCCAAGCAGGATCAAAGTCTTCTCACAGAATCTTTTGCTCAGCTGTGGAGGTAAGGGAATGGTGAGAAGAAGAAAAAGCTCTGAGGCGCTAGTACAGCCATGCTCCAATTTCTCCCTTCTTCAGCTGCTACCACTCCCTGGCTTAGCCACACTCTCAGAAGTAAGCCAGCTGCCTCCTGAGTAAGAAATCCACGTGGCTGCTCAGATGTAGCAGTAGGTCACCAGGTGGTTGACTTAGCTGACCATGGCCACTGAGATCTCCAGGTCCTGAGCTTTCAGTCATCCCCACGTCCTCATAAACCCAGTGGGGAAAAGATTCCTCACACGACAGACACCCCAACGGGTGAGATTTTGGATGTGAAGGATTATTTCCCCATCCTGTCTGGGGTCGAGGAAGCAAGGTGCAAAATGAGACAACCTCCACAAAAGCAACTGAGTAAGGAGGGAGCACAAAACTCCCCCTTCTCCCTGGCCATGGTGCTGGGCGTTCGATGTGGAAGAGCACAATGGGAATGTGATGAACAGTTGGTGCCCTATTGTTCTTCTTTACAGAGGCCAAAGTCTTCCACAGCAGATGGGTGCTGTTGTCCTGGCTTCTGTGCTGGATGACATAGATCCTGGGGAGAGCTTTGTAGATCTAATCGAGGAAGAGAGCCAAGAATCTCAGCTTAGAAATACATAACTCAGATGTTTCTTGGCTCTCTGCTGCAACACTACTCTATGCTGTACACTTGAGACTTGGATCTTATTCTGTGCTAGGTAACATATCATGCAGTGCATCTGAGACTTGGCAGAGCTTTGCATGGGAGATGAATAGCAGTAGGTTGCAAGAGCAAAGAAGACATGAATTGACACCACCTCCAGCAAGTCGCTGTTCATTGTATTGTCACTTCATAGGATCCCGCTGCATTTAGAACTACGACACAGAACAGAGCATCATCCAAACAACCTACATGCGGGAACCAAATACAGGACCAGTGATCACAGTGACCTCCTCAAATGCTTTCTGCTGTCTTGGCTAAATTCCAGCCCCACTTTGCCAACCAGAACTTCTCTCTCATTTCAGTTAGAGAAGATATTCTTCATTTCCCTGCCTAGAATCATGCTGGTGCAGTTGGCTGCTCTGTTCCAGTCCAGACATAGGTGCATTTCAGTGGTGGCTGAGTAATCCTTGTATATCTGCACAGTCTGTAAAATGCTCTGGGACTGTCCAGGATAAAAGGTACTCTACAGATCTATTATTTCTACTGTCGCTATTACTGCTCCTCCGCATAGATGGGTATCTATCAGGCTTTGTACTATGCATTAGAAGTAAACCATAAAGTGTATTGTCTGCAGAAAATAGATGCTGCTTTTACATTTGTCCTGTTGACCGTGCACATATAGAAAACGAAGTAATGATTTTTGCATATCTTTTATTCCTATGTAGACTACAGCAAACATTCCAGTGCTGCCTCCATTGCCAGCTAACTGACAATCAATAGCATCAGAAATGTTTATCATTACATATAACCACGTCAGACAAACCATTGGCAGGTGGGCTGCACGTCATCTTCATACCGGGCTGAAGTCCTAGGTACACTCTCTCCAGTGTGTACTAATGTGTCCTGGGGAGAGGCTTCGGAAATTCTATAGATGAGGACTCATCCTGGTGTTGATGGTGGACTGGATAGTCCCACCTGTACACAGTAGCAGCTCCCTCAAAGAGCTCTTTTGAAAAAAGGCGCTATGTAATGCAAACTGTGCTTTTTCGAAAGAGCATCCAGAATGCCTGGGTGCTCTCTTTCAAAAAAGCGGCTTGCTTTTTCGAATGTACTGGTTGGAGTCTAGACGCTCTTTTTTCAAAAGAGTCTTTTTTGAAAGTATCTTTCAAAAGTATCTTTCAAAAAAGCCTCTTTCGAAAGAGGCTTGTAGTCTAGACGTAGCCTTAGTGGCTGTGATGACAACTCTGGAGTCAGTGTTAGGAGATGACACACCCACTTCTCCATGCAGAATACCTTCCCTGGTGTAAATCAGTATCACACTACTGAAATCAACAGTGCTGCATGTGATGTCACCACTGCCCTGAGTCAGTGACCAACTCCCGAGGCCAGGGTAACTGAGAAACTTAGAATTAAGTTTGAGAAGGCTCAGTCTGTAACTGCTCCAGTGGCTAGATATCAATGAGTAGAGCTGGTTAGAAATGGGATTTTTTTCCATTGACAATTTTGAGCTTCATCAAAATATCAAAATCTAGAATATTTCCATTCTAAAATGCTGCTGCGGTGCCTCATGCTCTTGTTATCTTCTATAGCTCAGACAACATCTTCCATGATCTACTCTCATAGTGCATCATGGTTGTCACTCTTTGTGACAACTGTTACTTAGTTGAAAACCCAATTTTCTGTTGAAAAATATTTTTGACAGAAAGTTTTCACCCAGTCCTAGCAGAAAGCTAGGCCTCAGAGTGTAGCCTTTCCCTGCATCCCCACATCCACCCTGCCTGTGATGCTGCTGGGCCCACTGCAGACAGGAGCTGCTCTGGATGACTGGAGCAGCCCCTGTCCTCGGTGCACTCCATGGGGCTGGAGTAGCCCCTTGCCCACAGCACTAGCTCTGGCCCTGGCCCAGCCTTGGAAGAGGGTTGGAGCAGTGGAGCCAGAGCTGAGGCAGAGCCAGCCAGTTAGGGCCCAGCTGGGGCTGTATAAATAAGGGCTCCTGGAGGGGCAGAGACAGACTCACTCCTGCACCAACTGTGGAGCAGGAAGGACCTAGCTGCCAGAGATGCTGGAGGCTTCCTGATACAGAGCAGGGCTGGGGAAAGGCGGGCAGAGCTGGGCATGCTCCCAGGCTGCAGGGTCTGACACTAGGCCTGAGGCTACTAGAACTGCAGGGAGGCAGCCAGGACAGCAGAAAGCAACAGGTCCACACTCCTTGCCAATGATGAGTGGCCATGTCAGATAGCAGTTTGCCCCTGAGGCAGGGGCTAGATGATGACTGGCAGAGGGTCACTGAGGTAAGGTGGGCATAGGAGATTGTGGGTTCACTGGGAGGGAGGACCCCAGAGTGTGGGGGCACTGCAGCAGGGCAGTATCCAGAGGGGAGGATTGCTGCTGTCTGGGAGGGACGTGGCTCCTGACACAAGGTGGGGGAGCTATTATTAAAAGGTAACAACAGGTGAGACACCGGCCAGAAGAGGGCGCTCCATCACTGAATGAAGCAGATTCCCTGAATGACCAGCAGGAGGCGCCCTGGCGGTGAGTCCCACCCTGTTACACTTTCACATCCCTGTTGTGAACAGCTCCAACTTGAGAGCATGCCCAGGAGGGGGTGATTATCAGCACCAGCATTTTGCAGGAGAGTTTGATGTTCAGATGCCTTGTTCTTTTTTAGTGCCCACAGCTTGTATTTAACCCTTGGATAACTTTTAGTTAAACAGCCCAGAACTTTAACACAACACCAACACTGCCTGGTGCTGATTACAGCTCACAGCTCACTGGAAACCAGAAGCCTGCTTCTCAGCTTGGAAAGTGGCCTGTGATCCCTGCAGCCACAAGCAGCAAGAGCAGCTACTCGGCTAGAGTTTGGTGCTAAATTTCCTGAGCACCTAAAAGAGGATCCAGCCTTTCTGCCGTTGTGTCTCCCTATCTGCTCAAACAATTCAGGATCTCGGCTCTGCCAAGGCAATTATGCGTGTGTTATCAAAGCTATTATTCCAAAGGGGTTTATGTGGTCATTAAAATAATGAAATATGAAGGAGGATGACTCGCGGCAGCTGCTGAGTAATGCGTCTCGAGAGCTGGATTTGAAGCTTTTTCAATTTCCATTCTCAGCGTGTGCATGGGTCTTGGATGAAGCGACAGCACTTCATCTGCACACTAGCAGCTTGCATAGCTAGTTTTGAAAGGCCCCAGGAATGCATAACAACAAGGAGCCACTCATGCTGGCTGGGAAGAGGCTGAGTTAGAGGAGACATCTCTGGTGCATTGCGAGGGACAAGCCCCACATAAAATATACTGCATTTAGTGCAGCCTTTACAATACACATTCCAGGCAGTCACCAGCTGTTCACCTGCAGCATGGAAGGGCTTTCATAGGTATGAAGCCAGCTAACAGGTGTTACTTTGCCAGTCTCTAGGCGGAGGAAGAACAAAAGCTGCTCCTTACTGTTACCCATGGCTCAAAGTGAGAGTAAAAAGCAGTTTACTTTTATACAACATCTGCCTTTTCCTTTTCCCCTAGCGCCAAGAGTTTGATCAGCCAGCTCAAAGCAGGAAGCAGAATTTGAGCCAGTGCTTCCTACACATTTGACAAGGCTGATCCAGATGTTGCACACTCCCAATGCTGACTCAGCCTGCACATCTGGAGTGGCACAGAGCTGATGGAGCGGATGGATGAACCTGGCCCGTAGTCACTATTCACTTGCGTAGTCACACACAGGAGTCAGGAAAAGAAGAACAAGTTGTTGTATGTGAAAGACTCTGCCTCACACGTTGTTGTATGAATCCTGTTAGCTGTGTGCTTTTCTGGTGTTTTATATCCTGCGAGTGAAGGGTTAATGAGTTCTAAAAATATATTCATGTGGGCTAAACAGATCTATCTATCTATCCCATGATCTTGGTATCTGAAGCTACTGAGCTGCTATTTTCCTGTTGGCTAAAAATTCCAAGGAAGCCATTAAAGGTGATACCTTGTTGCAAGCTGGTACTACTCGCCCCTTGTCTATTTAATTAGCTGGAGTCTAGTTCTTTTCTGTATGTCCCTGTTTTTTCAATACACGGCAAGTACAGCTGTCAAGGCAGTGACTGAGGAACAAAGCTTTTGTGGCCCAATATGCCAACTCCAATGTCTCCTTCAGTTCAAATTAACCCTGATTCTGTCTTTAGGATGTTTAATCCTCGTAAAAATATATCCCTTCATTTTCATTTCTTAAAGCCATTTCACATCACACGCCCAGCCCACTCCTGCGATAGTACACTCAGCAACAAAAGAACCTGGCAGCCTGTCCCCAAGGCCTGGGTGATGTGTCACAGGTTAGGCTTTGACCTGAGCACATATCTTTTAACTGCAGATTGCACTCTAAACACAAACGTGAGTCTGGGTTACAACCTTAAGCTACACGTGTCACTTCTCCATCTGCCTCTGCGTACCTGACTTTGCAATAGTGAAACACCAGGGGCGATGGGAGTCCTCTCATATTTACTGATGAGCTAATTAAAATGCTTTAAAATCCCGTTTATATTTTACCGTGTGCCAACTGTTACCCTTTTTTAACAGTGAACTGTCACATAGGGGGAGAAAACACTCTGAGCAGCTGACTCCAATTAACCAATCCTCTCAGAGGCTTCTGGGAGTGGGAGGGACTTGGGGAATATACAAACCAGGTCCTCCTTGTTCCAGAAAGAGAGGGACAGCTAAAGAACCAAGACAGCACAACTCCCAAGAAGACTAGGAGGCTGATGATGTGCCATGGGGGAAAATCAGATCCAGGATGAGGCAGGAGGAGGGTTGATCCCCTTGTTAAAAAGGTACCGAGTGTAGGGGATAGTTGGGCACAGACTAGGGCGTGCCTCCCTAAGACTTGAAAGGTAAGAGAATTTATGGAGGTGTAGAACTAAAGGCTGTAGGTATCAGGGTTGCCAACCCACAGAAATTTCATTTATGGACAAAATGGGAAAAATGTATGGAGAGACAAATTTTTTTACGGACATAATTTTTATACTATATTAAGACGACATAAGTGGCCCAAAGTGGAAAGTAATCATTGTAATTCATACATCACAAGATCAATATGCTATTTAACTTTCATTTAGTTAGTCATGGTCCTGGAAGTTTTCAGTTTTGTGGATCACATGATTCATGTTACGTCACCTCAACCATTGAGCTACATAAACAATTAAAACGTCCACTTTCCGCTGCTCTGCAATAAAATGGCGGAAGCAGCACAGAAGAAATTTAATTGCTATAGAACAGTGTTTCTCAAACTGCTCCACGGAGCCCCAGGGCTCCACGAGACATCTCCAGGGACTCCGCGAGGCTGACAAACTGGAAACATCGACAGGTACAACACATGCAATCAGTGGACCGCTGGGGCTCTGCACAAATTTTTACTCATGTAAAGGGCTCTGGAGCCCAAAAAGTTTGAGAACTGCTGCTATAGAATAATTGCTGTTTTTTTACGAAATTTACGGACACCTACATTTTTTTACGGACTTTACAGACATGTCCAATTTCAGCTAATTTTTTATGGACTGTCCATAAATTTACTGACAGCTTCCCCTGGCCCCGCCCCATCTAACTGAGTCACCGCTCTTTTCAGGAGTGTGGAGCTGGCATCCCTCCACTTTGCCCAGAGGCCCAGAAATTCTGTTGCTCCCCCCCACGTCTGCAGCACTGACATAAGCTTATCTCCTGTGATGCAAATGAACTGCTTGAGTTAGCATGTTACCATTCATTTTGGATTGTCTAGTGACACATGCGTTATCAGCAAAAATGCATCCCAGGCCCGGAGTTCTGTGCTTAATCAAACCTATTAGTCATTTAATCTTGTTAAGAAAACATAATTGCAATGCTATCAAATTAAGCAGCAGCATGGAAATGCCTGTTTAATAGCTACTCCTGAGAGAGAAGAGAATTCTGTGATCTATGTACACTTGTCAGCTGTATGCAAATCAGACCCATCTGCCCTCAACCATCATAGGAATTGCTCTACTGGATCAGACCTGGAAACATTGGCTCTAATTACTTGGGAAAGAGCCCTTTGTGACCAGTGTCAGATGGGACCATTATAATATCCAGTTCGTCCTCCTGCTTTAACCCAGGCTAGCAAATTTCATCCAATTACTCTTGTTCTGAGTCCAATCATTTCTGGTTGGCCAAAGTATCTCTTCCAGAAGGGCCCCCCATCTTGATCTGAAGACCTCAAGAGATAGAGAATCCACCACTTCTTCTTCGAGTGATGTCCCTGTGGGTGCTCCACTCTGGGTGCTGGTGCGTCCTCGCGCCGGTTACCAGAAAATTTTCTAGCGGTGCCCCACTGTGCTGCGCATGAGCCCTGGTGTCTTCTCGTGCCATTGGTGTCTGTTAGGTGCGTACGCAGTGCAGCCCCCTTAGTTCCTTCTCTACTGTCCTCAGCTGCGGACGGAACTCCATTCTCTCGCCCCTTTTTCTCTAGAAACAACAGAAAAATAGTTAATTCTCCTCAGTTTTATTCTCCTTTCCAAGTTTTTATTCTTACCCAACCCTATACCTTCAAAAAAAAAAAAAGGCTTTTCTTAGTGGTTTATCCCTTCACGCCTGGATCCCTAGGCTTTAAACGGTGCGAATCCTGCCGTAAGGCTGTGCTTGTCTCTGATGGGCACGCCTCCTGTATGAAGTGCCTGGGAGAAGGCCATCTGATGCAGAATTTATGAATCTCATGGCTAGAGCATGATGCAACCAATAGGCTGAAAACATATCTATACGAGAAATCTCTTCAGCCTCCGTGGGACGACTTGTCCCCCAGGGCTAAAGCGTCAGACAAGCCAAAAGGTCTGGACAAAAGTCGTCCCTCTACTTCTTCTGGCAAGCCTAAAGCAAAAACCTGGGTTTCCCCAGAAAGATCACGACCCTCGGCACTGAGCTTATCAAGGGTGAGCATAGGCGATAAGCCAGGCACCTCTGGCACAGCATTGTCTAAATCAGTGGCACCGCAGAAAAGAGCTCACTCCACCATTTTCGCTATCGGGGCTTTTTTGCACAAAACAGTTTTTAGCTGTCTACACTGGCCCTTTTGCGCAAAAGCATTTCCGGAAAAGGGCTTTTGACTGAACGGGAACGTCAAAGCATTTGCGCAAGAAGCACTGATTTCAGACAGTAGAACGTCAGTGCTTTTGTGCAAAATTAAGCAGCCAGTGTAGACAGCTGGCAAGTTTTTGCGTAAAAGCAGCTGCTTTTGCAGAAAAACTTGCCAGTTTAGATGCAGCCCCAGAGTTTTATCCAAGACTAGCTGTTGTTATGGCGTACCTACGTCATCAGGGAGTCATAATATTCCCATATCTGGATGACTGTCTTATAAAAGGTACATCCTTCCAGGAGACACAAAACAGTCAATGCTACCACCCATCTTCTACTCACACTTGACTTTCACATAAACTACCAGAAATCTACACTCCAACCCACACAAACTCTAGAGTTTATAGGAGCACACATCGACACTATTGCAGCCTACCCACAACTCTACCCACACACAGATTTGAGGCCCTCCACAATCTCATATCAGTGGCACGCATGACCTCCACTAACACAGTCCGCGAATGCCTCAAGATTCTGGGTCACATGGCTGTCACCACATATGTGGTCCAACTGTCCAGACAACACAAGAGGTGTTTCCAGGCCTGGTTAGCCACACTTTACACCCCTTCCAGGAACCCCATTGCCAAGACAGTCACTATCCCACCATGTGTCCTCAGTTCAGAATGGTGGACGGACCACACAACGTGTTGACATGCGTACCATTTCATCAGTCAACCCCAACACTCACAATTACTATGGACACATCCTTTATGGGATGGAGAGCACCATTTTCGCCATCGGAGCTTTTTTGCACAAAACAGTTTTTAGCTGTCTACACTGGCCCTTTTGCGCAAAAGCATTTCCAGAAAAGGGCTTTTGCCCGAACGGGAACGTCAAAGCATTTGCGCAAGAAGCACTGATTTCAGACAGTAGAACGTCAGTGCTTTTTCAAAAAATCAAGCAGCCAGTGTAGACAGCTGGCAAGTTTTTGTGCAAAAGCGGTCGCCATGTTTGAGACAAACATGGTTCCCTTACTTACACAGACTGGTGACAGAGGATCCGTACATCTTTCCCCTGCAATGCAATCTTCTCACTCAACATCACAGCAGAGTTCTCAACCCCAAATCACATAAACTCCACTTCCATGCGTGGCTCCTTCATGGCTCCAAAATGCTGAAAATACCTGTTCAGAACGAGTGAAACAGATATTAATCAATAGCAGGAGGCAGTCCACCAGAAAAGCTTATCTGTACAAGTGGACCAGATTCTCTGAGTGGCTTAAACACAGTCATCCCATCCCTCCTGATACTACCCTTGTCCCCATCATATTAGACTACCTGTTGGAGCTAAGGGAATCTGGCCTATCTTTCAATATGGTAAAGGTACATGCAGCAGAAATAGCTGCCTTTCACTGGACCACAGATGACAACTCTTTCTTTTCAGACCCAGTCACCAGACACTTCCTTACTGGTCTCCAAAATACTTTCCCATTGTTTCAGCCTCCAGTCACGTCCTTAGGAGTTTGACTAAACCGCCCTTTGAGCCTCTAGCAACTTGCTCATGGTTACATCTAGCCATGAAGGTCGCCTTTCTGGTGATCATAACCTCCAGCAGAAGAATGGGGGAGCTTGCCGTGTTAATGGCAGACCCCCTCCCCTTATCAAATATTCACTAAGAGCAGAGTAACTCTTCGGCCTCAGCCCAAATTCTCCCAAAGGTCCCTTCTCCCTTTTGTATTAATGAACCCATACACTTACCTGCGTTCTTCCCGAAGCCACACATGTATCCATCCCAAGCTTCATGGCATACCCTCGACATCTGCAGAGCACTCGTGTTCTACATAGATTGAACAAAATCATGGAGAAATTCCTATTCTTCGCTGAACGTTCCAAAGGCTAAGCCGTCTCCTCCCAGAGGATTCCCAACTGGATCTCATCATACATCCACAACAAACAACCACCTGACAGTATCACTGCCCACTCAACCCAGGCTGTGGCTTCCACGACTGCTTTCCTCTGGAAGACATTTGCAAGGCAGCCACCTGGTCATCTGACCACATGTTTGCAAAACACTACACGCTTATCTCTGCCATCACGTCATCTATGGTGGTTGGACAAGCGGTGTTGTCCTCAGCTATAGGGGCAAGGCTCCAAACCTGCCTCCACAATTTGAAGAACGGACACCAACTGCACGAGGAGGTGCCAGGGCACATGCACGCCACGGCGGGGCACTGCTAGAAAATTCTCTGGTCGCCAGTGTGAGGACGCACCAGCACCCAGAGTGGAGCATCCGCAGGCACACACATCTTGAAGAACCCCCGTTACTGCACAGGGTGAGTAACTCTCTTTTCCCTTCGTATTTTGCTCCAGGGATTAATCACCATAACTGATTTAAAACAAAGTAAAACAAAAAAATGCCTCATTTCTGATTTGACTTGGCTGCCTTCAGCGTC